AAAAAAAAAAATTATAACTGATAAGTTGGTTAATATGTTAATATGTTATTGAAACATATATATTTCGTAAATGTTATTGAAACTCGGCTTATATATAGTTGGTAATTTAGTTAATACTTAATAGTTCATAAATATTCTACATAATTTATAGTTGAATATAACTGATAAGTTGGTTAATACATAATAATTCATAAATTTATCTCTAAATAATTTATATATAGTTGAATATAATAAGTCAAACTTATTTGAATACGATAAGATCACAAGTCAACTAAATACGTTATAAGTTAATTCACGATGCTTACCAAACTCTAAATTGCTCGATTAGCTTAACTATTATTATTATTATTATTATTATTATTATTATTATTATTATTGTTATTAAATAGGAACATTGTTTTTTTGTTTTTGATGTTGAAACCAGCCGAGACAACTTTGTGCTTAGGCTAACAAATTTGATTGGCGGTCCAAAGTATGATGGCAAGTACCTCAAATCACTGGTCCAGGGGCTTTTAGGTAATCTCACCTTGAGCCAGACCTTAACAAATGTGGTGATACCCTCATTCGACATCAAGCGCCTGCAGCCAGTTATCTTCACCACCAAAGATGTAAGGGGAATTAATTAATTAATTAATTAATTAATTATAAACTAATTTAATTAATAACTCAACTGAATTAATTAACTATCATGAATTAATTAATTTTAATTAAATTTCTAATAATGAGGATTAATTGGAACAGGGTAAATCAGTTGTTTCCAAAAATGCCCTTTTGTCTGACGTGTGCTTGGGCACGTCAGCTGCCCCGACTTATCTGCCACCTCACTATTTCGAGATCAGAGATGGTCGCGGTCAAGTTCGAACCTTTGACCTTATTGATGGAGGGGTTGCTGCTAACAATCCCGTGAGTAGCCAAGTGAAAATATCTAGATTTTTTTTTTTTTTTAATTAAAAAAAATTAAAACTCTAAGTGGTCTCGAACTTCGAGCCTTGGGAATGCAGCATTATTAAAACTCTTGAGGGAGAACTTTGACGCCCTTGTGGTCCTACCCGGCTCGATTCCGGATTAGTCGGTTCCCCTGTGGATCAGGAAACCAGAAGGTCCCTACCAAAAAAAAAAAAAACATGAAGCACAAAAATAAAAAATAGTCAATCATTTTATTTTAATTGACTATTATGTCTCAAGTTACTACTATTTGAATATTTTAATTTTTGCTATTCTAATATTGTTTACAAGAACTGCAGACCCTTGTGGCCTTAACCCACATTTCAAAACAAATCCTTGTGGGAGATTTTGAATTGGAGGGCATGCAGCCGATGGACAGCGAGCGCATGTTGGTGCTGTCGTTGGGCACCGGTGTGGCCAAGCAGGAACAGAAATACAGCGCACGAGAGGCCGCCGGGTGGGGCTCCCTCTCGTGGATCTTCAATGGAGGCTCGACCCCCGTCATCGACGTGTTCAGTGATGCCAGCTCAGACATGGTCGACATTCACGTCTCCACCATTTTTCAGTCGTTACGCAATGATCATAACTACCTTCGTATCCAGGTATATATATTACAATGCGCCTTTGGTTTTATAACCACTTTTTGTGAAAGCATGAATATAACAGTCATTTTTCATTACGCAAACAACACGATTTCTCTTACTACCAGAAAGCGTTTCTAGAATTTTGGTATTCCAGAATGGTTTCTAGAACAAATGCAATCTATGTCTATAAACCATTTTTGGAATTTCCAGATTCTTAGAAACGATTTCTGGTAGTAAGGATAATTGTGTCATTGCACGAAGCAAAATGACACTTATTTCATATTTCCACAGCAAAGTTACTATATATTTCATCTTTTACAAGATTAAACTATTTACTAATATTATCTATATGGTAAAAATAACGTCGAATCTTGTTGTCACATAATTATACATGTTTGGGTTGAAAAAAGGATGACACGTTGTCTGGGGATGCGTCGTCGGTTGATGTCTCGACTGTGAAGAACATGCAGACGTTGGTACAAATTGGGGAAGGGCTGCTTAAGAAACCGGTGAGCAGAGTGAACTTGGATACGGGCCTGGCTGAGCCCGTTCAAGGGGGCGGCACAAATGAAGAGGCTTTGGCCCGGTTTGCGAGGATGCTTTCGGACGAGAGGAAGTTTCGCCTGGCGAAATAGGGGCCGTGATTGACAAAGTCTTAGCAAAATTCATACTATACAAATACAAGTCGCAGAAATATAAGATAAGAAACAATATTAATATGGAAATGTAGTTTACTAGTTGCAATGGTTAATTACATTTTAAGGTTACTAAAGTTAACTATTGAAATGAAAGAAATGTTATTCATCAAGAAAACAATATATATAACACGAAAATTATTATTTTAATTAAATTTCTTGTATATATATGATCACACTACTTAATTTTTAAAATACTACATTACAACGAGTATGATGTAATTTTTTCTTTATTTTTTCCCGCATCATTCCAAACTTCCATTCCCACACAGTCTGCAAACTTAATCAATGAAAGGAGATGGATATAAGGTACTTGTGACGGCTAAAATCGAAGAACGAAAAAGAAAGAGGAAGAAAGAGTACACGAGCACAAAAGAAAATGTTCTAAACACAAACACAAGCGTTTTCGAACTCAAAAGCGCAGCTAGGATCAAGTCGGGAGAGGAGGAACAACAGAAATTTCGTATTATGACGAAATACAAAAAAAAAAAAAAAAGGTCTGCATAAATCAGACGAAGATCTCGACTAGGAGAGAGGCTAGTGAACAATTTCACTAGAAGAAAGCAAGGTTTCAGATTAGTTAAAGAAAAACTTGAAGTAGAAAAAGGTACAGTCTTTGGCTTTCATGTGACTACAGAATGCATATCCTTATAAGTTAATTTCCAAGCCAAAAGAGCATATATGGTTCGACAATACCGAAAGAGAACAATTTGTGGACATTTAGCTAAACCCCAGGCAAGGATACCAATTAAAAAAACAATTAAAACACGACTACATATATTTAGTCGATCGAAAAGAGATCATCCAGTTTGATTCATAAAAAAAAAGAAAAAAAAAATGTATGAAGGATCAACGGTTAGTCTTTCCAGAGATGCTCATAATTCATGTTCAGTGCACCGTAACTAAGACCAAATTTGGGTTCAGAGTTGAGTAAAATGCTGCCTTGTTGTTTGCTAACAAGTAAAAGCACTTTTCAAAATGGTTCAAGGGGCTCCACAGAGTTCCTAGTAACCTGCTTTTAACCAAAAAAAAAAAAAAAAGTAAAAGGAGTAAGTTCCGACTTCAACAGCTCATTAAACTGTACCGAGAAAAGGAAAGAAAACATCGAAAAAGAAAGACGAAAATACTTACTCTATGCAAACACTACAATTCTACTGAAACATCCTTGCATATGCTTTTTTCTCCAGTTCACGCCTATCAGCTATCTGTGAACATCAGAACATATCAACTATTTAAGAGCACTGACTACTCGTGACTCACTATATTGACGGTGTATAAACTTGAAAAATTCCTCACCTTCTTCTTTGCAGCAGCAAGCTCTTTCTTTATACCACCTACACAAAATTAAAGGCACTAATGAAGTTGTTTAATATCTAGCAACTGTAAATTCAACAACTCAAAATCATTCCGTGCATAGTTACCAATTGTATTCGATGAAACTTCTGAAAAAAGAGAGTTATATGCTCCTTACCATCAGTCGGCTCCAACTCTAGTGCTTTCTGAAAACTTTGGGCCGCATTGTCCAGGTTATTGAGTGCCAAATAAACCTGAAAAGTTTCGAACAAAGTGATTGGTCTAATTTATATATCAATCATGTCAAAACAAGAATGGAGTAGAATTGGTGCACAAAATAACATAAAGGACTAACCTGGCCTTGGCGGAAGAAAGCTTTTGGATTATCTTTTCCATCACGAATCGCAAAGTCTGCATCCAGCAATGCTCCTTTGAGATCTCCCAACTTCAATTTGCAGGTCTGAGTGAAAGAATCGAGCAAATTCTCGAATTAGCAGACGCAATAACCGAGTGGTAGTAAAAGTATTTGGACTGAACAGTGAACATAACTCAACAAGAAATATACAAAAGAAATAAATATGATGCAGATCGTTTGTTAAGCAACAGAACATATATAAAAAGTTCGCTAAAAAATGGAGAAAGATGTTCATTGCATTCTTCAGTCGAGACTTACTGAGCTATTGGTAAGGATTTGAGACTTAGTTTTCATCAAAGATGTACTCTGCTCTGCACAACCATATGTATGATTTGCTGTCAGCCTTGTCCATGTACTTACAACAACAACAACAACAACAACATAGCCTTGTCCATGTACTTAATCGAAAAAATACACTGGTAATAATAACTCGTAATATTTGCATCATGTAAAGAAAAAAGAGTTGCACCTGGATTTACATCCTCCATATCCCAGCACAAATCCATATACTTGAGTGCCTTACGATACTTTCGGGTGGCCATCTTGTAGTCTTGTTTCTGCACAAATGTAAAGAAGAAAAATATGTTTAATTTCTGCAAAAAGCTGTTTTCATTAAGAAAAAAAAAAAAAAAAGAAAATATATATACAAAAGGGTATGTCAAATCCAAAACTACCTTATACCACTCATTCCCCACGGCTTTTATAGACTCTACAGCAGAAATCAACCACAAGACATCAGTAGGTTTCGAATCAAGATCCATAGGCGATTCGGGGTACATATCGCCATCTCCAAAGAAGTTGATTGTCCCATCATCTGCTCCCTCGGGAATTTCTCCACAATCGATGATCACAACATCAACACTCGGATAGTTATCATCGGCAGTGCTAACATGCTCGAGCGCGCGAAGGACCCCAAATCCTTTGATCATCTTACCAAAAACGACGTGCTTTCCATCTAGGTGAGAGGATTGGGTTGTGATGATGAAAAACTGAGACCCGTTTGTGTCTGGACCGGAGTTAGCCATTGATAGTATCCCTTTCCTCGAATGTCTCAGCTCGAAATTCTCATCCTCGAAATGCTCTCCGTAAATGGAACCTCCGGACACTCCATCTTCCGAGGATATATCACCACCTTGAATCATGAATCCTCGGATGATACGGTTAAAGCGTGAACCCTAAAGGAAACGGACCAATATAAAGTTTTCAAATGAGAAAACCTTAAAACAGAGTGCTAAAGCAATGTGCTGTGATTAATCTCTGGTGTAAGCGTTCTGAGATGTTATATAGATCAGAAAAAGGTGGCAATCATCATGATTAACGATCGACTTTGCTAACAAGTTCACTGTTTCATTGAAGGCAAAAGAAAATGATTCCGTAATTTGATATCTAACCTTTACAATTGAATTGTAAGAAACAAAATACAAAGGAAAATGCAAAAATCTTCAGTCCTTAACCAAAACATAAAATACACACCCATTCGAACCTACAAAAAATCGAAATCAAGAGACGGCGAATGGTTCCTTTTTCGGTTCCAGCTGCTTAAGTACTAATCTATTAATCATTTTCCTACGGAGCATTCAGAAAAAAAATAAAAACGACCCGAAACCAACATCATACATACATAACAAAGTTATATGGAAATATAATTGTACGAATTCACAAATCTTGGTCAAAATACAATAAAATAACATCAGTAGCAGAAACAACTACAAGAAACAATATGAGTAATGTGGGTTCCTGTTGCTCAATGCTTACCCCACAAGAACAAAAAGCACTTTCAACAAGAATCATATTTTACTGTGCGCTAACTTTCACCACAAGGCATATTTTGCATCCCCACTACACAATCATGCAGAAAAAAGCTCCATCACCCAAACAAAAATCAACAAGCAAGCTACTTTTCACCCCCAATCGCCACCTGAAATGAAATCCGAAAACCTAACAGCCACTACAGCACAACCATGCACACATCAAACAGGCAAAACAAGAAAAACCAAAACGAAAAACACCAAAATGAAAAAAGCCCACAAAAGCCCGAACCTTGTAATGGAGGGGGACGCCGGTGTGAGGGCTGACGCCTTTCTCCCCCGTACACAGAGCTCTGAAATTCTCCGCGGTCTTAGGCACGACGTCGCTGTACAGCTCCACCACCAACCTCCCTTCCCTCTCGCCCCCAATGCTGATATCCAGAAAACACCTCGGGTTCGCCATTTTTGAACCTCCTCTGCAGATCTCAAGCGGAACCCAGAAAAAAATAATGGAAAAAAGAACAAAAATCCGAAACAGACACGGACTGGTAAAAGCTCTCGGGGGACCGAAGCTCGACGCCAAAACGCCGATCAGCAAAGCCGGGCCGTTAGATCAGAGGATGAAGCCCCCAAAAGGGTTTGCGCTTTTCAAGAATGGGAGACGAAAAGCAAAAGCAGGAAAACATTCCTTTAAAAGCAGGCGGTTTTGGGAGGGACTGAGGTTTAGCGTATTGGTGCAGAAGGCAAAAGGGAGGGGCGCAGAGAATAGGACGGGACTGTGTACTGTCACTCTGTTTTTTTCTCAAAAAAAAAAAAAAATGAAAAATGAAAATATTATTTAATGAATACATGAAAATGTTTGAAATTTTTTTTATTAAGTTTTAATATTTTTATAAAAAAAGAGTTTTAAAATGAAATGAGATAGTCAATTTTTTTATATGGTGGCAATTGTTTGGACCTTTTAATATTTATACTAAATAAGAGTGGATAAATATATCTTACATAATTTTGAATTTGAATAAATTTTATTAAATGTTAATAAAAATCTCAAAGGAATACTCTAAAGTCTAAAGTCTAAAATGTAGTATAATAATATACTGGCAGGCTGAAATTTTTCCTGTGTACAACATGGGAAGCAGTATGTACAAACATTTTGTGGTGTTAGAAATAAGTATTTATACATGAATATATTGGCGGTCCGAAAGTTATGGATAATGCTATAGTCTTGTTTTCTGTTGGTATTTGTAATTGTTGGATGAACATGCAGCACTAATACACACGACATTTAACAATTACAAATCGAAATAGTTCCGTAACGCGATTGTGGTTTTAACCGAAAGTTAAAGGCTGTACGTGTGATCATGGTATTGTTGGGTAGCCCACACACTGTTTGAGTAGGTGGCATGACCTACTTTTTAACTTCTTTTTTTTTTTATTGTAAATGATTAAATATCAATTGTTGGGAATTATTTGGAAAATATTCTACAATCTTCAATCATGCTTCAACCAAATATATTATGAACAATTTTTGACTACAATAATCAAAGTTGAAAATGGTGGACTTTTTGAGTATCAACTAATTTTATATTTTTCTTCAATAATTTTATAACCATAGTATTGGTGATTTATATTTTCGGAGCTTATTTTTTATTTTTCTTGATGATTAAGCCTTTCTTGATGAGTAGAAAGGGTCATATTTAAGTTTTTTTCTTTCTACGAGGTGAAATAGAATACTTGTTTTCGTTTGGGCTGCCTTTCTTCTCAACTTCGTCTATCCTCACCAAGTTTGATTTCAAGGATCGGCCTTGTTGCTCCTTGGTCAGCGAAGGGGGCATGGATAGGGTCGGGCATTGATTCGTTGTGGAAGACGGGTTTTCTATGACTAAACTGCGCACTACTTATAACTGAACTTCGCTTCATTTCTTTTATAGCGCTTTCCCACTGCCTCAGGTCCTTATCAAGAGTCTTAAATTGTTCTTTCGCTCTTGGTATTATTGTTATGAAGGCCTAACCTCTCTCTTGGCAGAAGGTTATGGAATCCCGCAGAAATTCCTAGAGACATACCATCAGAAAAACTTCCTTAACCGATTGGGTAGATCAGGAAAATAGCGGTAGCATTTGCAACATGAACTTATTTTTTAATTTATAATATTATGCGTCAATTATTGGATAATTTGATGAGTCTATGCATATCTTTTATCCTACATTCTTATTACTATTTTAATCTTATAAAACATTTACTAAATGTATTTTGAGATTCAAAAAAAAAAATATATATATATATTAATTATCAATGCGAGTCGGTATTATTGATATCTTATCCCATATTATTATTACCAAAGGCAAAATTCAATCGGGTTACAAAAAGAGGGGACCACATAAAGATAGAAACCAAAAAAATATAATTTGTAGCATTCCATATCAATTTGAATTTTTAATAGTCCTTTTTACAGTTTTACCTCACGAAGATAGAAGCCACATTCTTATAATTTTTTTTTTATTTTTTTAAAAACATAATATATAGTAATATATTTCCGTCCACCTATAATTTCTTCTATAAGCACATTAAAAAACAAAAAATGCAAAGTATACTAATTTTGACTGTTTATGAAAGTACGTGGTTTATTTTTTCATTAGTTTTATTATACCATTTCTTGGTTTCATATTTAAATGATCTACTTATAATTTTAATTTAAATGATCGTATTTTGGTGAAAATATTAAAAAAAAAAAAAGTTGTAAACATGTAAACTATACTAGGGCTGCAAAGGAGTCGAACGTCTCTGCGCTCGAGTGAATGCTCTACTCGAGCTCTAGCAGTTTAATCGAGCAAGTGAGTCGAATTTTGAGCATCATTTCAATAGGCTTGCAAACTAGACGAGCCGCTCAACTTTTTATTTTACATAAATCACATATTGTTTAAACCAGTTTTTCCATTGATTTATTTCAGAACTTGGAACGTCAGGAGTCCATTGATGAAAAGGGGCTAAGGAAGGCTTGAACCCAATTCCTATTGTACCTTAAGTAGGGATTACTGTCGCGAAAAGGGGATTTTCTTTCTTACTACCAGAAACTTCTCCTTCCTGGTACTTTTTAATAAGGCAAAGGCACCATGTAGCCTTAGACATAAAATTTAGTTGTTAAAATTCGAGCTGAACTCGAGCCACGTCGAGCATCGAGCCAAGCTCGAGCATTCTTATGTCACGAGTCGAGTCGAGCACCATTTTACATGGCTGTCGAGCTCGAGCACTGAAGGAAAAAAATTAATCTACACTCGACAAGGTCTATGCTCAACTCGTCTCGACTCTACTTATTTGCAAACACTAAATACTAAATGAAACTAAACCAAGTACCATGTCTTATAGCATCACAACCACTCAAAACACACCCACCCACCTTTGATTTTACAGTTCCTCAACAACCATAAAAACCTACATGGCCAACTTAAAATCCACACTTCACAACAGCCCTTTTTCTTCATTATTTCATAAAACTTCACACACACACATTTTACAATTAAAAACTCTTCTAATTCACCACCCTACAGTTTCTCCTAATCTCCCCTTGCTGCCCTGTGAGCACACCTATGCTGCTCATCTTCACCATCGAAACAGCGAAATCCTTCGTAAACATAAACGGCCATTTCACGTAATTCAAAACCAATGCAGCCGTCTTGTTGTCGCTCATCAGAGCCTGGTCAGACTGCAGAAGGCCCGAGTTGTTAACGAGACTTTTAAAATACCCATTGTCGAACTTGCTCGACGTGGGGTCCAGAGGCGCCAAGTTGGTGTCCGATTCGGGTTGATTCGGGCATAAGCCCTGCAGTTGGGTCAAAAGAGACAAGTCGAGTGTCGGATCTGGGTTTCCCGCCCCATCAGAGTCGAAAAGCCTCGATTTGAACGTGAAGCATTGAGCAAAACCGAGAGTGTGGCCGCCTGCAGTTTTAGTCGCAAATGGACATTAGTTCAAAACCCGGTCATTTTTCGAACATTAGTTTAACTTAAATCATAATACGAAAATGGGTTCGGGAGAAAGAGGTCGTTAGAGGCGAAATAAGTGGTACCTGAGAGTACAACCATGTCTTTCATATCAAGGCCTTTTGCTATAAACTTTGCAGTGATATTCTCCAAGGACTCGAAAGGCGAGGGAAGGTCGGTATTAGCTGCAGTCTCATTAGCCGTTCGGCCATCTCGACGTCCCAAAGGCAGAGGAATAAAGCCCCCTCCACTCTGTATTATTTACATCATTAGTTAGAAAGAAAAAATAAAAAATAGAGTTGTTGAACTTTTAGAAGGCGTGTGTAAGTTGTACCAGAAAGACAGCCTCTCTTGAAGCAATAGTCAATATATCAGCACAAGAGACGGTTAATGGGCAAGCCTTTTCGACTTTATCTTTTATCGAGTCAATGACTTCATACCCGCGGGCCGAGTTACGATTGGGGAATGCGTTTTTCTCTCCAGTGAAGGCGCTGTTACTATCAAGTAATATCGACCCATCACATCCCTACACGCAAAAAAAAAAAAATAAAAATAAATACAAATAGTGCATATGAAGATCGATAAAAAGTGCATATGAAAATGATGCATGCATGTGGAGCTAATAATAGTGCGGGTTACATTCACGAAACAGTCGTGGAAATGAAGGCGCAGAATAGAGGCAGCAAGCCTTGTCTCGTTGACCATTGCTGACCAAACTCCGAACCTCACAATCTTTGTCAGGTTCGGACAACTTTTCTCGTAAAATTTGTAGTCGAGCTGGCTGTTGCCGAGTGTAACTAGCAACAGAAAACCGAAAACGGGCATAGATGGAAATCGAGAAGCACGAGGATTCATTTTGCGAGACAAGTAAAGATTCTTGATTATTTGTTTCTCTATCAATATCGGTGAATTGACAGTATGGATGAGGATAACCGAGCATTAGAGGCCGCAATTTATAAGGGACAATGCAGCTGATATGCTCACTTGTTATTACTGGGGAGTGTCAAAAAGTCACTCACTTGTCCCTTTCAGTTGAGTTTGGCAAAACTCCACAAAAGTCCACAAAGCTGTCTCAGTGGGTAAAGGAGTCAGCCAATAACAGTAACACCACCATGAGTTATAATATTCTCAAGTGACAGATTATATTATCTACCTAAAGCATCATGCAATTAAGTTATGCAAATGGGAGCACCATGAACCAAAATTTACTCAAAAAAAATCCGAATTTGAAGCACTTACACAACATGGAAGCACGACGAACAAAAGTTAGTCGAACAAATCCGGAAAGAAGTTAGTCAATATTTTTCGGCATTTAAGGTACTTATTTCAAACTTGGCAGCTGGAGCAAGTGATCATGAGCTTTTCAGTGATCTCCATAACTAATTAGTGATCAGCTCAATCAGATTCCCACTCACGCAGGCCTGTAAGAAGTCAAAATGTCTAGATTAAAAAGTATAGCCGCCATGGCAGCTGATAGTTGCATGATGATGTTGGCCATTTCCAGGCACTAGTGTGATCTTGAGACGGCGAATTTGGTCTAAGACACTTGGTGGAGCATTTTAGCACTATCATTAGGTATTATGAGAATTTATTAAAAAAAAAAAAAAAAAAAAAAAAAAAAAAAAAAATGAAAAAGGGCCGATGACTTCGAATGCGTTAAATGTTGCTAGCGATGATTAACATTCGTGTCTGATTTTCGAAAATTCTGAGTGCATCATTTCGAATGTTGGGTTTACACTCCAATCAAAATGCAGACCCCATTGTATTTTGTGTTTTTAAACATGTATACATATTTGTGTTTCTCTTTGTCATAGTTTTGGCATTCAGAAATGCTACACCAGGAGATACAGAGAACAATTTTGCTCTGGAACAACAGTTTGCAGCCTATCTACAAAAGAATATAAAAATAAAACAAAAGAAAAAATCTTTCACTAACTAGCCCCTGACCTGAAACTCTTGGGTTATATTACAATACATACAACAGTAGTAAGCATACATTTCCCAGAAACACACAATCACACTAAACGTACATTTCCCAAAAAACCCCTAACCACGATTTTTCGCAACTTCACTCTCATCATGGTTTACGAAGTTCTGCAGCTACAGCCCCAAATCCAGGGGAGAAAACTCTTTGTTTTCTGAATTCATTAGCAAGGCAAATCTGGCCTTTGCCAAGCCTTTCAAGCTTCTGCTAAATGGATTATTTCGAGACGGCCTTATTGGTTAATTAACAGGTGAAAATGAATTGTGCACCAAACCAAAAACCAAAGGCAACTCTTACTTGGTACTCGATTTCCCTTGCTTGAGGTCGTATGGCCCTTGATCGGACTTACGTCTCGCATGCTCTCTCGAGGCTTTGGTATTGGCCTGCCAGAACATTCAAGAACCGATCACCATTAGCATCTTTCACAAAGGGACCATTTTAGTATTTTACAATTTAATTGGTCACACTTTGAGTAGCTTTTGTAGTTTTCCATATAGAGGGTAGCTTTTTCAGTTAATCCCTATAGTAAGGTAATTACCAATAATCGCGGCTCTTCGTATGAGTGAGTACAGGCATCGAACTGTTGGGAGTAGCGGACAAACGGATGATCTAATAACTCACTTGCTGTTGGTCTTTCGGCCGGATTTCTACGAAAGCAGCATTGCAAAAAATCTTTGCCTTCTGCCGACATTGTGTTTGGTATTGGCGGGCTCTCGGTAAGAACCTTAAATAGTGCTGCAGCCTGAATTTCAATTATTGTCACGCAAAATGCTACAAACAAAAGCTAAACCAGCAACTTAGGAGAAAACAGAAATTATTGCTACACAAAATGCTGACAAGCCATAGCTAAATGAGCAAACATCGAACAACCCAAAAAGAAAATGGAAAAAAAATCAAGTTCAACAAAATTCAAAGTTAACAAGTCCAACTAAATTCACACTTGACATTGGAACAAAATTCTTTGGCTGTTAAAATCATTAGAATAGTTATGCTTAAAAATCAGTTCAAATAATCATGCTTACCCCTTCATACTCGCCCCAAGGAGGCTTTCCATTCATCATTTCAATGATGGTACAGCCCAAGCTCCATATATCAACAGCTAATGCAATATCAGTACTAGCATCTGTTTGCGTAGCAGACTGCAGAAGCTGCAATGAGCAACAAATCAGAGCTTAAACGGGCCAATGTAGCCAGGAGAGCAATTAGAGTTGCAAAAAGTTTCTGTACCTCTGGAGCCATCCAATATGGACTCCCCTTTAATGATAGATTTGCCTTTTGCCCATTCAGCTGCAAAATAAGAACTTCAACTAATCATTGACATAATATAATTTCGTTCCTCGTTAAATATGGAGCAGAAAGCTTCCTCGTTGGGTGAAGTTGCCTTTGTAGTTAAATATTAAAGTCTTCGTCATACTTTGGACTAAAATTTGTATGGATCTCTTATGATGTCCTACACTTGGCTAGTATGCAGTTAAGCGTGAAGCAGACAACATAACAGTTTATAGCAGAGATAAAACTTGTTAAGGTTTATTCCATGATTTGGTAAAATGAGAAAAAAGTCCGCAAAACAAAAAATAATATATGATATGCAGCAACATATATCTTGGCTTGAAGAATACGAAGAAAAAAATTAATGCCATGAACGATAATAAAACAGCAGAATTACTAAGCAAACAAAAATAATCATCAGAGTCCAGAGAATATAAAAGCTGAAGCATATTGGATAACTTTGGTGAATATACAAACTCACATGTTTAGCCATCCCAAAATCAGCTAGCTTGACAACCCCATATGCATCAACTAGTAAATTAGCGCCTTTAATGTCCCTGCAAAAATTTCAAAAGACCAATTCAAATTAAGAGTCTCACTGAACCAAAGACAATAAGTTATGATAGTCCATTCATATAACACCTTCTGCAACCTCACTCCCAATCTACACATGTCAAATGCTCTCACCGCTTAAATTAAACTATTTCAAATATTAGCTCAATATGATCGGAAATAAATGCTATCTAATAGTAACCATAATTATCTTCTGGAATGAGTTTTTTTTTCCTCTATTATAAAACATAAAACAACTAGAGCACTACCTGTGTATGGTTTTCTTGCTATGCAAATAAGCCAACCCACAGAGTATGTGGCGAGTAAAATTCCGAACTACAGATTCTGTAATAGCACCACAATGGTCCTGGATAAATCTATTAATTGAACCTGGATGGACATATTCCAGGTATATGTAGAACTTGTCTCCCGCCTGCAAGAACAAAACGTGAGACTCTATCTACAGCAGCAGAATAATGCCAACCATAAATTTGGCTTCTGAGGGAAAATCACTCACAATTTCGCTACCAAAATACTGTACGATATTTGGATGTTTTAGACGACGGAGCACTTTAATTTCCTGAAAATTGATTAGGTAAAGTTATGGTAAGATCCTATCCTTAATCAACAAAATTAGCAAGAAGAATACATGAACCCTCTAACAGACAGCAGAAAACATAAATAAAATGAAATAAAAAAGGGCAATTACACTGAACAACAGCTAAACAGGGAGAAAGTACCAAAAATTCCAATCATGACAAACATTTATAGTAGAACACAACCTGCTCCAGCTGCCGCATACATTCTGTTGACTTGGAATCATCCGGTAAAATTTCAACTTCTTTCATGGCGCATAGGGCTCCAGTTTCTCTGTTTCACAAGGGGCATCCAATATTACCAAACCGTGTGATGTGACCCACTAACAAAATCGTAATTTAACCACACAAACCTGTTGGACGCCACATACACACTGCCGAAAGTACCTCTACCGATGAGCTTTCCTTTTTGCCATTTAGATTTCCTGGGCATCATGTTCGGCTTACTCACACCAGAAGAAAGTGATGACGATTCTGAAGTGATATTATGGACAGACGGTGAGAGCATGGAGGCACCAGAAGTATCTAATCTCGTTCCAACTGGGGATATTGGATGAACTTGTGATGACATGGCAGGCCCAGGAGGAAGAGGTAATGGATGTACATTGGACTGAGCATTATTGTCCCACTTTGTCAATGGGGTCTCAGTGGACAATCTGGAGTTCAATGGTGATGGTGTCCTTCGAGGGCTCGTTGCACGCAGGTGAGTACTTATCCTTGGGCTTTGAAGAGGAGAATTATCAAGACTTGATGTGTTTCTCTCTGGAAGAGTTTGAGAAGAGAATCCTTGGCCCATATTCCAATCCGAATGAGGTATTTCTGGTGCAGACCAGACTTGGAAAACACCAGGGGGAGTCATGTACTTGGCTGTCCAAATGTCACCTCTTGAGGGACTTATGATTCGGGTTGAATAAGGACTTGTGGGGGCACTAACAGGGATATTAGCACCACAGACATCTGAGGATTGATCTTTGGCAGCTTTGTTCTGCCGCGAAGACACTGTTGATGACCGTTTTTCAGAACGTTCTGAGTTTGTTTTTGGATCTTGGCCTACTAACCTGCTCAATCATGACAATAAACAAACATGCCACAGAGTATCAAGATGATGCCATTGTTTTAGAGGACTGCACAACATATGCATGCAACACACCTTAGAAGTTGTAACTAAAAAACATAAAATTGTAATGAGGAAGAAAATAGTTCAAATCAAACAATTGCACACCTGCACCACCCATCATACCACACAGCTCTCAGCCAAATGCAATAATACTAAATTTATAACCATAACCGCCATCAAAATTATAAATAGAACCAAAATGCATGTAAAAATGGAAAGGGAAAAAAAAAAATAAAATCATCACGGTGAATCACAAACATACAACTAATATCTAAACGCCAGAGCAATCAACGAATCTCCGATACCTTTTGAGCTCACGGAGTTGGTCAATCTCCTCGCCGTTCACCACCTCCGTCCTCTCCCTTTCCCTATCCTCCCACCCCCTCGGGATATCGTGAACCACCTCCGGCGACGGCAGGGGCACGCTGCAATGTCCCGACCCCGCGTATTTGGGGTCGCGCTGCAGCAGGACGTGCAATTCCGGAAGCGGCAGCGGTTGGGGCACCGCCGAGGCCGACGCGGACGCCCTGGAGGCCGAATCGTTCGGATTTCCCCGCGACCGCCACGTCTCGACGTCGCTCTCCGACGCGTGCACCACTTTCCTGGCGCGCGAGAACATGCGGCCCCGCCGCGAGGAGAAGAAGCCGGGTTTCCCGCAGAGGCCGCCGGACTCGCCGACGACGAAGCTGTCGTCCCTGGACTGCGATTTCGACGTGGAGGTGAACGCGCCATGCCACCAATGCATGATTATTTTTTCCTTTTTAACGGCCGATTAGAGATGCCCGTTCATACAGCTTCTCAAAATCGCGAGTTTGTGGAAAAAACGGCATGGTGGATGGGGGAGCGAAAGGATTTTCAGTTTCCTCTCAGATGAAAAAAGTGGGAAACATTTGGGATAAATAAGGAAGAAAGACGAAGAAGATGAAGAAAACCCCGTGGCTGGGAAAGAGCGATGAAAAATGGTGCACTCTCTCTATCGAACCATTCGGGATTTGTAATCGTTATATCATCATATAATTGTCGGGATAGTTGATTTAACGGTTACAAACCCGATGAAATGGTTCGTAACATGACCGTAACATCTTCAATTTTTTCTTATTATTATTGTCCTTTTTTTTTTTGGGGGNNNNGGGGGGGGGTAACAACTTATGTAATTACGTGGAATAATTGTTTGGCAACTACGTGAATTGTTGTATGAATGGATAGGGGAGTAGATTGTATTAATTGGTTTGTGTTGTAAATTTGGTTGTAGTGTTTTGTTTTTTAATAATCATCTCTTCTCAAGAGGTTCTTATTTTGACCATTTATAAAATTTGCATTTTAGGTATAAAAAGTTAATCAAGTAAATTAATTACTAGGTTAGATTGGTCAAAAACAAAAAGGTGAAATATATTTATATGTATGAACAAAAGTGTGAATAATTACTAGATTTGATTGGTCAAAAACAAAAAGGTGAAATATATGTCTATGTATGAACAAATGTGTGAACACATGTATGAAGTAATTTGAAGTTCTTAGGTAAAAAACCTCATCCTCATACAGGGAGCTACTCATCTAGTCTTTTCCTTGATTGCTCAATCCTTCAAAGCGTCGTTCCAAGGGCGGATGATGCTCGATGAAGATCACATACTTTACTTGATCGGCGCTGGTACTAGAAGCAAAGCTAATTAATGCATGAGCTTGAATATTTGGACGTCAAGAGATATATATTGTGATCGGCATTAAACGCGAATGCATCCTCTTGATTGTTTTAAAGAATGGATGACGACAAACGTTAATCTGAAGATTTTTTTTAGGCGACTTGGCGATCGGTGAGGCTGGATTTCTCATACCAAAGTAGGAAGCGCCAAATTTAATTTGAATTGCCTTTATTTTTTTGAGATTTAATTTCAGTCCCTTTGGGAGGCTTACAAAATAACTTAAAAAAAACTTACCCGTTCCTACCAGAAATGTGTATTTATCATGAAATACCCACGCAATTCATAAATATTTTATCCAAGTGGGATACATGATTACAAGTAGACAAAGATTAATAGCCCATCATGGTATACTACTATGGTATCATTTATTCAATTGATAAACGTTTTTACAACATCTTATTCACATGTATCGAGTTGGAGATCCACATGGACCTCATAGGTAAATTTAATATCCATTAACTCGAGCAGTTCTGGTTCTAAGATTTTTAACTAATTGGGCTTTTGTTTATTCCTTTTGAGACCTTCTTTACAATTTTGTTGATAATCAGTTGGCGGAATGCTACGTCCAGATCGGTTACCTTTACATAAAGAGTATACAGAGATCAACCGTAACATATTTTTTAGAGAGTTGATCTATCTTTCTCGTGTTGTTTCGAGCGAAACACATTATGTCATCGCTGATGTGAAGTCGGGCGAGGATCTCGATGACGATCTGAGGTGTAATGATGGGGATATACATCTTGGGATAGCGGCTAACCTTGATGGTTGATCTCGAAAGGTTGAGGTGACTCATCGAGAATTTTTTAACAGTCCCCCAGCTTTTCGTTCGGCACTAGTTGGTGGTCTGAAATCCATACGGTCGTGACCAAGAACAAAATGTTGAACGTTTAAAGAGGTAGGCTGATCATTAGGTCGGATGACTTGTGACCTAAGGTTATGGATTGTAAAGAATTCATAAAGGGATATTGATATAGCCATATATAAGTGGACCAGATTATTACAAGTGTAAGAAGCTCGACTTAAGTGAAAGATGATAGGAGTAAGTCGTCGTAAAAGGAAGTTAACAAGGATAAGACAACCTCGAGAATCAAGATTGGCTTGGAATCCCGAGGTCGACATAAGGCGACTTGAGAAGCAGAAGGACGACCTGAGGTCAAAGGATCTAGTAAGCCTCGCAGGAGGACACCAGACGAATCAACCCTCGGGCTATAGAATAAGTCGACATCCACCAGCAATGATAACCTAATTCACTTTGCAGCTCGATGTGGACCACGAAGCGAATGGTCTCAGAATGAACCAATCTTGAAGGGATAAGTAGGAATCTTAAAAGTGACTAAGAGATGACTAAGAAATGATTAGGATATGAGAAAACATTAAATCTGAGCAGCTAGGCAGGCTACCCGTAGGCACCTGGGCAGAGCATTTCGAGCAGGTATTTCCGTATAAAAGGGACTGAGGTATCACCAACCAATTTTACATTTCTAATACATTTCATATTGCTCTTATTTACATATCACCACCATCATCTTCTTGATACTGACTTAGCCATCCGGGGCTTTTCACTGAACTCCTCAGACCTTGCAGGTACACGCACGGCGGTTTAGGAAGATCATAACTTGTTTCACCCTATCCTATCCAAATCTGAGTGGTAACGCATCAGATATCCTTCCCATAGTCATCCTTAGATCGTTCGGCTATTATGTAGCCGTTACTTTTTTGGATAGGTCACTCCGTCATGTCAATGTTCTCATAGAGAGTGAGCTAACTGATCGGTCCATATTCTTGGTTAAGGCGAGCTAATATAGAGACAAAGAGAAAGTAAGCTTTATGTGGTAAAAAGAGGCAAAGTGATGGTACTTTAAAAGGCCATTATTTGAGAGTGTCTTATTGGACATAGTAACTGGACTAGAGACCTCGTTTGGAGTGCCAGACAGGTCGCCCTTCCTTTTGGCAGGAATAATTGCGTTAAAGGGATCATCCGGAGGTCCAAGTTGAAGCTTTGTGGGGTATTGGTAATGCCTATATATATGCATCATGGAGTCATGAATATATAGGGAGAAATTCATGAAAAATCTTGGATGACCGTCCTCCTTCTAGTGTCATTTTGTTGACATTCAATATCAAACATAATAAATTGGGGTAATTTAGTGCGTAATTAAAGGGATAATGAGTAATTGTAAGAGAAAATTAATGAATTACACCGTCAGTTTTCTGATATGTATTAAATTGATAATAGAAAGTGGTTAAACAGATTGAAAACATACAAGTGAGGATCATGCATAGAAATATCGATATCTGATAACTAGGGGGAGATTGCCAAATCGTATAGCGAGGTCGACATAATAAATAATTAAGAAGTAAAGAAAGAGTTATTTCATCATACTGTTGATGAATTTGCGACGAGTTTTCTATATCCTTGAAGGTCGAATCTATACATCGATAAAGTAGGAAAATAATGATGATTACATGCCAACTAATGATACGAGTGAGTGACACGTGACTCAATGAAAAAAAAATGACTTTTGATGATGGGATCGATAGGGCAGTCGTTTTTTCGATTTGCTTTACCGGTTATAGTTCACACCCTGTGGAGAGATTCGACAGAAGGTGTAAGTAGCGGATCGACGTTCAAGTGGGAGGAAGATCAACACAAGACTGATCATTCGGGTTCTTAGGCTTTCTCCTTCAATAATTTGTGCCTGAATTGGCATGGGCATAATTCCAATGTGGGCTATAAGCCCAAAAATGTCAATAGTGGAGCCACTACTTTCAAATTCAGCTTACATTGTGAGAGTCACACGAGATGGGTTGGAGCTCTTAATCCAAATCGTATTAGTTGGGCCAAAAACATACATATAAATTTGCATTAATTAACCAGATTATAAAGATGTCGATAAGGAGCATCAAGTATTCCAAGCAAATTTTTATCTGTCTCGTTCAACTTCCATTAGCAAGGTCGAATTATATAATGAAAGACATTAAATTAACGGGAGATTCTACGGTCTCGTTACGGAATCATTCCATCGAGATTTGTAACCGCTAGATCAATTATCCACCACGGTTACATGATAGTCTAACGGTTATAAATCCTGACGGAATGATTCTGTAACAGGCCCGTAACATTTCTCTTAATTAATTCCTATAATTTAGTAATCGGCAAGAGCCGGCAAGCAACATGAGCCCTCAACTACAGCGGTAAACACGGACTAACAGAAATAGATCATACAATGTACCATGCCAGGAGCCTAGAATATAAAGCACAGTAGTTTTTTAAATTTTTTTAACAATGGTTGATTGTCAAATCTTGGTTAATTTAATGATATGTGCAGTTAATTCGTGACTTGACTTGACCTAACATTAGCCACTTGAGGTGAAGCTTTACCAAATTATAGACCCAAGTACCTACCGATTTAAATTAAATAAAGCAAATTAAAATAATTATCATGATTTATAGCTAGGGGTGGTATCGGTTCGGTAACCGAACCGATAACCAAAAACCGATACCGAACCGATAAGGATTCGGTATCAAAAATCCATACCGAAACCGAACCGATAAGGATTCGGT